AGTCACTTCATATTATCAAATTATTTAAGCCGGGTGTGGTGGCGTACACCTTTAATTCCAGAAGAGGCAGAGGCAGGTGGATGGATGTCTGTAAGTTAAAGCCTAGCCTGGTATACATACTGAGTTCCAGGCCATCTAAGACTGCAAAGTGAGATCTTGTCTCAAAAAAAAAAAATCTAAATAGGAAAAAATATTAATGACCAGACTTGCTGGTATTACAAGAAACATGTTTATTAATTTTTTGTTATTTCTCAGTTTGCAAGGCATAATAACCAACTCAATGCAACTGATAAAACATGTATTCCCTGGGGATGTTTTTATCATCCATTTACTTTTCGGTTTCTCTGAACACAAATGCTACTGAAAAGTAGGTCTGTTTTGTCAATCTGCCCACTGTTGCTCACCTAGGATATTAGAGGTGAGTTTTTTTTGTTTTTTTTTTTTTCAGCAGTTGCACAAGACCTGCTCAAGATTGGGCCCAGAAACAGTTATCATGGCTAACCGTTTTTTTTTTTTTTTTTTTTTTTTTTTTTTTTTTTTTGTAGTCTTTCAGACCCACTGGCACAGAGTCCAGTAAACTTGGAATGTACTTTGTTATAACTTTTTTTAAAACATGTTTTCAAGAACCAGGTTTCAACACAGAAAAAACAAAGGTAGGGAATATTTACCAAAGGTAGGGGACAGTTACCAAAGTTCATGAGTCTGCTAATGCACACGGCTGCAAGTAATGTTTTGTAACCTACACAGTGGAGAAAGAGAAAAAGAAATGTCTGGCAGATGGTTTTTATGTCTGGTCTGTATCAATACTGCCTGACATCTCTTACTCATCTTTCTATCACTTTCATCCCTCATTAGAAATACTTTGCTTACTGTAGTAAGACAAAACTGTTGATGGTGGTGTCACATGTCTCAGGCACAGAGATTAGGGGGCTGGGAATAAAGCCCAATCTAACCACAAAGAAAAGAAGTGCTTCCTAGGCCACAGGTCTAGATAAAAATGTCTACTCATGGATCTGGAGAGATGTTTAGCAGTTAAGAGCATTTGCTGCTCTACAAGAGCAGAGCTTGGTTACCATATCCAGGTAGCCCAAACCTCCTGTAACTCCAGCTCCAGGGGATCCAATGCCTCTGGCCTCCAGCACCTGCACTTGTGCATACACCCCCTCCACACACATAATATTTTTTAAAAAAAAATTAAATGTGTATTTCTTTTGAGATTCCACAATACTTAAATCTTTGAACCCTCTCATTTATTGCTGATATCACACAAGTTAAACATCTTTTCCATTCTAGGGATGAGAGCGCTAGAGACTAGAGACGTGATGTCCTAGCTGTGTCATTATTAGTGAGTTGTGTTTCAATCTCTCATCTAAGTTGTACCTGTGTGTACAGTCTCAGAATTCCACTCTGCTAATCAGAGTTGAGGGTTTCTTGGGCTCATCATTATATTTGTTTTTTCTTTCTAGTTCTGGAGTCAGTGAATTTCTTAGATTCTAAAACATTTGAATGTATTTTCAATCTGGTTTCAAAGCTTTTCATCTTGAAATCCTGTATGTCTTCACGTTTATAGGACTACAAAAACCACCTCACAGGTGTTCAATAATCCAGCTGAATATTTGTTCCCTGCCGTGTTGTTTTCTTGTAGTCACAATTCATAGTCAGTCTTCATTTTTGCTCATTATTTTTTGCTGTTTTTGTATATAAGTTATATAAAGTTGCACAAGGGTTCAAATGAGATATCTTCTTTGGATACTATATTCTTTCTTCATTGAATTTTTATTTTTTTAGAGTAACTCTATTGCTCTCTCTCAAATTCTTGGCCTTTTACAAACCTAGCACATTGTGATTTCTAAAAGCACTGGCGTTTTGCCTTTCGTACCCCTCATGAAGTAGCAAGAGAAATCTATGGAGACCTCAGCAGTGCAGATTTGCCATATAATTACAGAAGATGGAGGGAGGGGATAGAAAAAAAGAAACAGATAACCCAATGACCTTGTATTTTTTCTTGTGCTCATATAAAATACAAGATATTATCCAAAACTGAAGACTGCAGCTTTCACCTGAGCCTATTACATCAATGAATTCTATGTCTTTGATCAAGCTGTCATGGGATGCTTCCTTCTTTCTGCCTCATTTCACGCTGCAGCCTGTAATAGTACATGCTCACCACAGGGTTGACAAATTTTGCTTATTTCATGGGGAAATCAAGGGAAGTCCAGGTTAAGCATATATTTGAATAGAATGTTACTCTATGGCATAATTACCAAATTAAGCTGCGATAATGCAATTGTATTAGGCCCAGTAAAATATTAGATTCCATTCATCAAAGAGAAAGCTAACATGCATGAGCGCTTAGTAAACATATGCACAGTACCCACATGTCCCGTTAGGCTGTTTTCAATTTTTCTTTATGCATCAAAGCTATTTAATGACTAAATTTTAAAGTTGTTTCCAGAGAGGCCATGCTGCTGCTGAATAAAAAGAGAAAGAAGGAAACATTCATTGCCTTCCAGGACCCTTCTTTCTCCTTGAGTCCTTCTGTCCCCTTATCAACTCAGGGGCTGCAGGGAGAAACAGAACCTCGTCCCCAGTGCCATCTAGGATGAAAAGGTTATTAAATGTTTGCTGCACTCATGGTGCTCTGAGGAGTGAGCAGAATAAAACAGAAATATAATTCCAAATGACAAAAATTATTTTAGAATTTTCTTTTTGTCTCTTGTCATGTTTATGTCTGTGGAGAGAAATAACCTTCCATTACTGAAGAATACTGGTATAGATAAGGCAGAGATCCAGATATCTTTGTGTTCTTGATTTCAAGATCTTATTCGAAATTGGAGTCTATTTCCAACACAGCTGAATCCCACCTTTTTCCTCCCAGCCCCGCATCACCCCTGATCTGGGAGGCAATGCCAATTGAGAGAGGATTGTACCTTCTGAAAAGCTGGTTATACTATTTCAAGGACTGACTCTTAAGAGTGAAGTAAGCTGGTTCCAGTGCAGTCTTGGAGCTCCATATTTACTGTCTATAAAAGTAGCAAAAAGCTATTACCCAGTTGTGATGATTAAATGTTACGTGCATCAGTCCTTTGCCATACTTAAAGCACTGCGTACAGATGGAGAACTATACTGTGCTGTAAGAAGCAAGCCATGCCAAGGTCCTTCCCTCACTGTCCTGCAGGTGAAAACTAAAGAAGTTGTTACTCTATTTCACCTTTAACTGACAGCCCTAGGTCTGGAGGAAGTCCCAATGAAGTTGCAAATATGTTATATCAGGTAATATATTAAATAATTTTCACTGTATTCTATCTAGGTACTGAATATGATGGGTTAGGGTGGAAAAGTGAGTTATACAATGATAAAAAAGAAACAATCAGCCGGGTGTGGTGGCGCATGCCTTTAATCCCAGCACTCAGGAGGCAGAGGCAGGCAGATATCTGAGTTCAAGGCCAGCCTGGTCTACATAGTGAGTTCCAGGACAGCTGGGGCTACAGGAGATCCTGTCTCAAAAAGACCAAAAAAAGAAAAAGAAAAAGAAACACTCAAAACTAATAAAAAAAAACTCCAATATAAATGACCCAATACATGCTATGCTGACAGGAAAACCGCAGATGGGTGCAAAATAAAGGCCATACTCCATGAATATGGACAATTAAGGGTACAAGGGAACTTTCAGGTGTTGAAAATGTTCTGTTTTCAAAATGGTGTGGGTTACACTATCACTTGGATTTTTCAAAACTGACTTAAAATCTCAGTATTTCACTCTAGAGATTATATTTTAATATAAAATGTCATCTAATGGTATTGTGAATATTTTAGTAGTCCTTGAATCTTAGGAATGGGTGCAGAAATGTTCACAGATGGAAAGATGTATACAGAACTCAATATAAAGAAAAGCTTATTGTGATAGAGCAGGTATGCTGATAAGACCACGAATTGAGTAATCATGTAAGCTGGTACTGTTCACACAGGAGCCTTTCATCCTCTCCATTCTGTATGTTTGGATATTTTTATAACAAAAAGTTGGGAGAAGAGGCACCATCTTGATTTACTTCCTCTTTTATCAAAGAGAAATATGGAGAAAGAAGAATATACCTTGTTTAAGTTCTCAGAAACAGAGAGCCAGCTCCCAGATCCAACTAAAACAGGCCTGGCAAGAAGTCACCATTTGTGTCCTTCCATCTGGCTTCAGACTATTGAAACAGTAGACCCCAGGAAACTGGAATTTCTCCAGGAATCACAGGACAGGAGAAGGCAAAGGCTGAGGCCCAGGTGCCAGCCAGAGGGAGAGCTTGTCTCCCAGGAAGCGATTTTACCGTTTGGACTTGAAAGAGCACTTTGCAGGAGAGACTGAAACCCAGACAAAGATGGATAGAACGATCCCTTGACCAGCCAGCACTTAGTTATGCACACTTCTTGCTCTCTATCTAAACCCAAGGCTCATGTCAGCACACCAAAGATGGACGGGGGCAGGATCACTGGACTTTTTAATACCTCTGTCCAACATGACAACATTGAACATCTTTCCCTTTTCTATTTTGAATTATTCATTTGTCTCTTTAATTGGCCTGTTGAGGACAGGTGCCCAAACCTATCTTATTGGGGTGACCAGGGCCCAGGATCTGACCCTAACAACTCCAGCAACACCTTCTCCCTCTGATTTATGGAATCTTGATTTTAAAAAGGCAGACCAAGAGTGAAGATGGGTTTAAGTAATAAATCACCATGGCCACACTCTTATCTTCTACCGAATATATGTGTGTCATCTATGTAATTCCTCTGTATATATTACATATAATTTATTGCTTGCCCCTTGTGATTTCAAAAAGTATTGTAAACTTCAGCTGCATTTTTACTCAGAATTCACAACTCAAATGAGTGCAAAGACCAGAGAAAAATTTTTTCCCTGACCCTTTTTTTTTTTAGGACAGCGAAACTTGTTTTTCTTCCAGTGCTCAACACACACTCAGAATCCAGGGGAAGGCTGAGGCTTTCTGCTGGGGGAGGAGCTTGCGTCTCCACGCTGGTGGGCTATAAGGAATAGCGTTTTTCCGCTCAGCTCAGAGAGAGGTGGAAATGTGTTAAGCGGTGCAAAATTTGTCTTGAAGCTCCCGCGTGTGTCTGCGTGTGTGCTGGGGTTGAGAGAAGGGGGCTGTCAGCCAGAGCTCAACGGCCACCAGAAGTCAGAAGGGTGAGTGATGTGCAAATCTGCCTTTCAGAGAGGGGCTGAGGAAGAAACAGCCTAGGATGGTGGGCGAGGGTGAATCCCTCAGGGGTTGTCTCCTAAACCTGTACGTGGATCTCTGTACAGTAAGCCCCGTTTCCAAAGGGGAAAAAAGGAAAAACCCTTGCGATCGCTTGTTTTCGACGGCTTGGGAATATTTATTCCTTGTTCTACAGATGGAAAAAAATCAGCGTCTGGCAGCCGCTGATTGGTGGAAAAGGAAATGGTGATAGTGGGGTGGGAAGAGGATTTGCGGAGCCTCCTCCTGCCTCCTCGACCTGTAACTCTTAGTGGGCTCCCCTCCACACGCGGAACCGTTTCGAGCTCCTGCGGGGTTAAGAGCAAACGAAATTCTAAGCCAGTGTGAACAAAAGCGACCCTTAATGGTGAATGGTGTGTGCTTCTGCTACATGGCGGGAGACTATCGCCCTTGCTGGGGCTGTGGGCTCCCTCCCCAAGGCCTGGCTCAGCCCTCCATACTCCCCATCCCCGCTATTCCCAGATGAGGGGGCCCCCAGGAAGACAAGAGGAAAAGGCACCGAGGGAGGGAGATGGAGGAGGAGAGCCTTCAGCACAAGTTCAGAGGCCCTAGAACCAGGTGACCCTGAACTTGAGGTGAAGCGCGGGCCAGCCTTCCTTCCCGCCTCCTTGGGTGCGGGGGCGCAGGGTGAGGTACCTTCGGCCCCCATCCATCTCCATCCTCATCCCTTTCTCCCTTTCCCGTCGCGGTCCAAGTTCCCACCCCCATCCCATCCCTATGAGGTACCTATTGGCCTCAACCATCCCCATCCTCATCCCCATCCCTAACCCCATCTCCAACCCCACCCCCAAAAGGGGCGAAGGCACACGGCGGAGCAGGGGGCGGGCAGAGAGGTTGACAAATCAGCTGCGGAGGCGGCGTGGCGGAGCCTGGGAGCAAGCGCCCACGGAGGACCGCAGCAGACGGCGGGGAGCTGAGCCTGCGCTGGCGCCTCGGACAGGTGCAGCGGGCGAGCCGCCGCCTCCGCCCAGCGCCCTGCTCGGCGTGGGGACCCTGAGGGCGTTGGACAACAGGCTCACAGGGCGCCTCCACCGCCCACTCCCTCGCGCTCCGCCCTTCCTGCGCGCCTTCCCTCCCTCTGCCCAGAGATAGGGTTGGGGAATTGCTTAAAAAAAAGAAAAAGAAGGAGGAGGAGGAGGAATCTGAGTTTTGCCTGAGCCTAGGACGCGGGTAAGTACCTGTAGATCAAGCGGTAGCTCTGAACCCCTGTAAAGCCCTGGGGACTCGCCCCCCGACGCCCGAGGCTTCTCTTCTGGGGGCGCGGGCGGGCGGGGGTAGCGAGGGAACCTAGGAGACCCTGAAGAAAGTAAATCTCCATCTCTCAGCTTCCCTCCTGATTGCGAAGTGCCCCTCTCCTCCTTAAGCCCTAGGGGAAGGCCAGGCTGCCTGTGGCACCTGCCTTTTCCGCAGAAATGTTTGGGTGCTGCTTACTGGATGTTAAATGGAATGTGAGCGTCCAACTTTCACCCTCTCCACCCTGGCGCTTTCCACCTTCCCTCTCCAGGGTAAGGAGGCTGCATTTGGCAAATGATTAATAGAAGTGCAGAAGACACCAGGCAACAGGTGGTAAGGGGTTAAAGGAGCACCAAGCACAAGGTCTGATTGCACATCCCAGCTGAGGTCCAGGTTCTAGGTTGGATGGCATTTATCTAGAGATTGCCAGCGGGTATGAACTGCAGGTGCTGGGGCAGATAGCCGAGTGGAGGGCCTGGGGGGATGGTGCTGCTTGCTGGATATAGAACTGGAACCTTGGGCTCCCCATTGACCTAAGGTTTCACTTCATCTGGAGTGAGCATTCTCCTACACTCTCCAAGATGGATCAGCCTGTGAGCCCCCTTCTGGGATCCTGCCACTGACGCTAAGCCTCCAGCACAAACATTGCTTTCTGTGTTCTTTATCTAAACGTGCATCTAACTTGCACTGTCACCCTTGGACCCTGAGAAGTTGAAGGGGGTGGAGGACATCGACATTTCATCTAACTCCACTTCTGAAGTGCAATAGGAAAAGCCCAGATGATTCATCTTGATCCATCCCATCCTCAAGTCGTTTGACTTTTACTAGGCAAGATGGATGGGAGATGTTAAAATTTGAATGCAAAGGCTAACTGGTCAAAATGAGGGCAAGCCTAAAAGGCGCACACTCTAGGTGGGTTCTAATGATTATTCAGTAGTTTCTTTCTCTTCTTTCCTCCCACTTTAGGCATTTTAATCTTGTTTTCTTTTACCTAAATGCTCTAATTCAAAAAATTCTTTTTTTTTTTTTTTTTTTTTTTTTTTTTAAAAAAAAAAAAAAAAAAAAAAAAAGAGGACGATAAATCTTTCACCCAGTGTAGGGCAAAAGACATCAGTAGCCATGGATGTGTTCATGAAAGGACTTTCCAAGGCCAAGGAGGGAGTTGTGGCTGCTGCTGAAAAAACCAAACAGGGTGTGGCAGAAGCTGCTGGAAAGACAAAAGAGGGAGTTCTCTATGTGGGTAGGTAGTGTCACTTGGATGTGTCTGTGTGACTGATGGAGTTCTCTCTGTGGGTAGGCAGTGCCACTTTGATATTTATTCCTGCCTGATGGGTTGGGATGGCTGACACTCTAAGTGCTGGTGTGCCTTGTTTGATTCAGTGTACATCATCACTTATCAGGAGGATAGGCTGAGTCTCAGGAGGATGGCTGAGTCACAGGTGTGAGGAGGTGGATGGATGTGAACATGCATATTTTAGCTCATAGTAACAAAAAGGGATGATTTATTTTAACATTTTATTATTTTTATTTTATGTGTGTGAGTGTATTGCCTGCATGTATGTGAGTGCACCCGTGTTGTGCAGTGCTGCGGAGGTCAGAAGAGAGCTTTGGATTCCCCTAGAACTGGAGTTAAGGATGGTTCATAGCTGCCATGTGGGAGCTGGGAATCGAACCCAGGTCCCCTGCAAGAGCAGTCAGTGCTCTTAACCGCTGAGCCATCTCTCCAGCCCCAGGGATGATGTCTTGTTTCCTTAGATTATCTAATTCTGCTATAATACTCAAGATTTTCATTTCAGTGTATTATGTGTCTGTGTATAAATGATTATATTGAAGAGGATAGTTTTTTAAAACTGAAAATCTATGAAAAATAAACAAGAATATTTTGAATCAAAATCATTTATGGCACCACATATGGTGGCACATGCCTATAGTTCCAGCACTTGGGAAGTGGAGGCAGGAGGATATGAGTTGAAGGACATCCTCAGTCACATGCTGAGCTTGAGGCCAGTCTGGGCTACATGAGACCCTATCACAAAAATAAAATAAAATAAAATAAAATAAAATAAAATAAAGATAATTTCAAAACATTTGTGGGACTTTGGCTTTTTATCATCACCATATATAATACTTGCTAATTTTAATGAATTCTGATTTTTAGACTAGGACTCAATATGGTTCTGTAATCTGTAAAAGTATACCTACTTTAGCCCTGAAATGGCAAGATGGGATTTCCTTTTGGGGACCACTTTGCCAATGTGACTGAGCATTTAAGGATGGTTCAGAAGCATTTATGTGGTTCACCTGTCAGATGAGGAATAGAGTAAATAGAAAAATGGCTACCTGACCGCCTTTTTATCCTACGTGTCTACCTTGACGTATTGAAGTAGATATCAAGCTCTCTTTTCTGTGTCTTGCCCTGTGTTAAACTGTGTATAATTTTACAAGCCACTTCAGAACCTTTGAGAGAAGGAATAGATACATGTGCATACACACTCATCCTCCTGCATAAACACACAGGTGTACATGGGCATATACAGGTACTACCTTTTCTTCCTCTCTCTGCTTCCCTGATATCTTCTACTGGGGGAGCGGGGCATGGGGGGGGGTGCCTGTCCTGTTCAAAACAACAGGTAGGAGGCCCAGAGCAAATAAACAGTCAGAAGGGGAAGAGCATATCAGCTGACCCAGGTCACAGTGGTGCTGCACCTAGAACTCTATCATGAAAGGAAGCTGTGCTGCTTCTCTAGCAGAGAGCAGGAGGGAAATGCACACCTGGAAAGACTTCCATGACCACTTCTCCTCAAAGGAGAAGGTCACCCCTTCTCATCCTTAGATTCCTTTTCTTTGGCTGAATCTTCCCGGATGTATTTAGTTAAGCTGTTCTTTCTTTACCTCAAAACATATTTTCAGAAAGTCTTGAGATGAATATTGTAAGAGAAAAATATCAGTGAGTTGGTTTTAGTTTTTTGTAAACTGTGAATATTTTAGATAGAATTTAGAATGTAGAATCAGTTATCTCTACATTTATTTTTTGGCTTTAGTTTTCCCAATTTCCGCAATGACAGACTTGTGACTATGTTTTTCCCTTCAGTAACTTATTAGGTATAGCTTTTAGTTCTAAGCAACTCTAGAAATTATTTAATGTTATTTTAGTACATTACTATTTTTCAGGTAATAAACAGATTTTATCATGTAAAAGCATGTGTGTTTTTGTTAACTATGAGTTTAGGCAAATAAAATGGTCTTATGTTTTTAAAATTAATTTACTTGTTAGCTGTGAAATTATATAAATGCTATAATTTGTTAATTTATCTAAAGTTATTAAAATAATTATGAATATCTGTTATATTTAACACATGGTATAATTGATAAATTATTTACTATGTACTGATGCATAATTCAAAGTTGAATATATACATAAAATTTAAGATGAAAATGACTTATGAAGATACAGCCGTAAAGTCCAGATGTTGGCCATACTTTGTTAAAGATCAAAAATATTTTAGCATATCTCAGTCTCAGATAATCAACTTTACTGTTGAAGGGTGAATTAACTCTAGTTACCAGTGTGGCTTTGTTTCAGTTAAATTTCAGAATGGCAGGCCAGAGTTGACACACAGGCTATAGAAAAGTGGAAAGAGTATGGATTTAATGACATTCAAAGGAATTTAATTTAAGCTACATCACCTCTCACATTCAATGTCTTGGAAAAGTCATTTAACATCTCTGAGCTTCACTTCCCTTGTTTGCAAATGCTATTATTGCCTTGCAGCATTTTTGTGAAGATGTAGTCACTGAGTGCGCTATGTAGGAGGCACGATTGTTATTATCATTATCACACAAGCTGTGCGACAGAACAATTCCTTTGCCAATGTGAATTCTTCTTCTCACCCAATATTATAAACACTATTATCAATAATTAGTTTGAAAGAGTAGAAGTAATCCGGACTGGGGTTATAGCTCAGAAGCAAAGTGTTTGCCCAGCATGCATGAGGCCCTGTTTTCGATCCAGTGTTGGGAAAAAAAGTTTTTAAAAGATTATTAGTAATCAAAGAAAATGTTAAGTTTTCACTTGTGGCTGAAGAAACTTGGCAGAAGCCTTGTAAGAAAGGAATCTCATTCCCTTGTGATAAAACACTTTGGGCAACTGCCTTTAGCTAACTAACTGAAGGACTACCATAGTGATCAATGTTTTTCCTCCTGATATTTGTTTAAATTTTTTCAGTTAACATTTCATTTTAACAGGCAAAAATCTCAGTGTCATGACTCAGAAATTGTAACGTGACATTTAAGTCACTGTAGAAAAGGTGGTTATCTTCATATAACGCCAGGTTTATCATAGTAAATTCAAGAAAATCACCTTCAGAATTCTTCCAGTGTCACTGCTCAGTGAACAGCAGTGGCCACAGTCTGAATCTTGGCGCATCTAACTCTTAAGCTTCACGTGCTCGGCTGACCTGGTTAGAATCAGCATAAACTGTGAAGCATGGTACATCTTTGTTCTCACAGCCTCTCTAGTGACGTCCCAGGAAATAGGGCAGAATAAGGATAGGAAATCTCAGCTCAGAGAAGTATCATCTTTCTGTCCACAGTTTCTATCTCTTGCTTTTTATTTGCCATGGGGCACCTACCTTATAGTTACATATTAACAATTGAAGGTTAAGTATCAATTATAAATTACTAGCAACTATGACAACAAAGATTAGGTGATTGGTTTGAGATACAACTTCATCAAGACTCACTTGTCTTTGACTCAGAATGCGTTTCATGATTTAACCAAATGCCAAATTCTCAGGTACTGCTGAGACAGAGAAAACCAGAGACCAGCATTTGAGTGTTTTCTCCCCATTAGTTGCTTTCTTAAAATACTAACTGCAGGGAATGAAGGTGAAGGATACAGATGAGAATCATTCTGTCACCAAACTGCTGTTGTCACTCCTCATTTTTCTGTATACTCAGATTCCAGTTGTTACTTTAATGGCACTGGTCCGCAAGCAGCACAATTTAAATCTCTGTTACATCAGTGCATAAATTAATTGTGCAAGGTACAAACTTTAGTGTTACCTTTTCACATTCAAAATTATCACATAAATAACGAAAGCCCACTATAATTGGTGACTAAATTACATCACTCTTCTCAGAGTTTGTCAGTGAGCTGTTGCTTCCATCTGTCACACAGCCCTCATAAACAGCTACACCTGGGAATGTGTTGTCTCTTGTCCTTTGGTGAAAAATCAATGTGGTAGTTGATAGAACTGCATTCTAGTAGAGAAAACTGACCAGCTAAGGTAAAAATACAGCAAAGAAATGAAGTAGAAATTGTTGGAAGTAAACTGGTTTATAGAAAAAAATTAGCTGATTATGGTGATGTGGTCTTCCCAGTAGTCCAGAAGCCCTGGATATTATACACACAGTCAGATGACATCCTGGGGTGAATGACTCAACATACCTGGAGAATGCAGTAGACCAGGTGACAGTATCTCAGAGGAAGTATTGCTACCATCATAGAATCCCTTGGTAAAGGAGCTATCAAGGATAAATCATGACATTAAGAATGCAGTCAGGCAGGGTGTGCTTGCCCAATCCTTTAATCCCAGCTCCCAGCACACACAAGGCAGAGACAGGTGAATCTTGTGAGATTGAGGCCAGCTTGGTCTACATAGGCAGTTCAGGCTAGCTGTGGCTACAGGAAGACCCTGTCTCAAAAAAGAAAGAAAATTTAATAATAATAATAATAATAAAAGATGTAGTCTGTGGCTTTGGACCTAAACTTAGAAAAGTATGACAATTCTGTAAGATATGAAAAGACACCCACCCCATAAGGCAGTTATACAATGAGAAGAGGGCAAGCAGTGTTTAATATGTTTGATATAGAGCACTGGAAAGATGGCTCAGTGATTAAGAACTGGCTGCTCTTGCAGAGAACCCTGGTTTGTTGGCTAACAGCTATCTGTAACTTCAGTGCACTTACATGCAGGCAAAACACTCGTATGCAAAAAGTAAACAAAATCTTCCCACGATACATTTTTTTTTTACAAAGAAATAATACTTTTAACTTACAGTATTCAAAATAAATAGTCTTAACTATTTTTCATTTCCTAATGTACTTATAAATGACTCAGAATTAAATAAAAATTTTAACAAACATTTTAAAGGTCAGGAACCAACCCTGATTATGCATAATTTTCCCATTGATTATAGATCATGTGTACCACTTCAGCTCAGTTTGTACATTTCACA